TCAGATCTTGATCTCTGCCTTCAGAGTAAGCTGTGACATTACACAACTGTCAACTTGAATGGGAGTCCCTGAGCAGAAAATACAAAGGGACTTGGACAGTAAAAAGAATCAGGATGCAAGCTCTACTTTAACACTGACAGAATATTAGGAGAGAAATTTGGAGAACAATGTATCAAAAGCTCTTGCTGTGCGCAATATGCATCATGAGGTTTCAAAAATATTCACAGCTCTCAAGTCGGTACTTCCATTTCTCAGAATCCATCTCAATAAAATAATCAAAATGTGCACAAGACTTATGTCCCAGAATGTCACTGCAATGGTTTTCTTCCTCTAATTGATTTTATTGCTACAAAAGAAATACAGCCATTGTAAGGCACTGTAAGGCAAAATAATTCAGAGATTCTTTTTTTAAGTTAAACATCATAATCTCCCACTGCCCTGACATTCTCATATATCTTCAACTTTCAGCATTCTAAAGTACTCAAAGTTAAAAGACTGCTCCCATAGCTATCATATAAGTATGCACAAACATATGTAGAAGGATTTCCTCTTTAATTAAAAAATACGATTTCCAGTATCTATTACAACTTGCTTTGCTTCACTTAATATTTTCATGGATATTTTTCAGATCAATATATTCTGATAAGTAATACCACTTGCTTTATAACCTAATTTCTGTTAAACATGAGTCCTTTCAAGTTTTTGACTATGACAAAGAATGATAAAATTAATACCTGCAGGCTTTATTTCTGTAAAACAACTCGCTTCCTTCATTAAAAATTGGATTGATGGATCAAAGGAGACAAATTTTTTGAAAATATTAATATTCATAAGTAATACTTATAGGCCAAAATAGTTATAATATCAACACAACAATTTTTATATATGAACATTTCTGAAATATGTTACTACACCCTTCTTTTTTGTGATTGCATCTGCATACCTTTGGCCCTGTTCTGCCAGCAGTATCCTTTTACTTCAGGCAAGATTCTGGTTGTTATAGAAAGAATGAAAAAAAAAAAGACTCAGTATTTAGTTTTCTAAACCAAAAGTAGGAATTATGGGGAACACATTCAGATAATATTTTTATAGAGCAGCTTGTGGTGGCATTTCAGCTGTGTGAGGCTTCGAGGACAAGGATGCACCTCTGGGCTCCTGTGGCAGCCCTTACAGCCTGCAGCAAATGAATGAATCAGCCAGCAGGGCTGTGACTGAATCAGGGCCTGTGACTGTTAACTGTGATGTGTCACCTTGATTGGCTTGGGAGCTGCCTAGGGGATTACTAAGACACACTTCTGGGTATGTCTGGTGGGTCATGGGGGCATGACCTTGGAGTATACATCTGGTCCCTGCCCCCTTTCTCTGTCTCACTGTTTACCTCTCTGTTTCCTACCCACTGTAAATTAAGCACTGCTGCCCCAGCATGCCCTTCCATCATGGTGTTCCTGCCTTGGAGCCAGCTGACGATACACTGATCCCAAAATCATGAGCTAAATTAAAACCTCTCTGACTTTAAGTTGTGGGTGCCTGGTGTTGTGTCTCAGGGCCTACAGCCAACGTCCTATTTCTATAACCACCCTGGCCAGGTGGTTTGTGGCAGAGAAAACCTTGTGTTCTCTTAATATATTGTGCTCCAAGCCTAGTGTTATGGACCAGTCACTCATCCCCTCTGCCTTGATTTCCCCATCTGGAGAGTGGGAGTCCTGAGATTTGATGAGATCAAGCATAAAATCCTCACCTCTGTTGGCCAGTTCACAAGGAGTTACAGAATGGCACTATTTTCTTTAAAACACCAAGGAGTGAGGAGGAGAGCTCCCCTGCTTCCTGCAAGACTCACTGGCTAGCTCTTGGAGGTCAGCAGACGAAAGCATGTTCCCACCCCCAGCCCAGATGAAGTCCCTCATACAGTCCTAAGCAAAAGAAACGAATGTTCAATTAGGGACAGGGTCTCCCAGATAGCTCTCCAGACTCGGATATCATACAGCCTGCAATAGCTGGAGGAGGGGAGATGAAGGGAAGACAGGGGCGGGGGGAGACAAGAAGGAAGGAAGGGAGGAAGGCAGGCATATGCATATCAATGCAGTCTATAACATATATGTATTAGTAAGACAAGTGTACTGGGTCTTCACTCTGTTGCCTTTTAGGTTTTCTGTCTTCATACTTCTCTTTTCTCGAGCTGCTCTCTGGTCTTTCCTCATGGTGTTCCTATACCAATAGGGGTGTTGTTTGTTTGTTTTTGTGGTACTGAGGATTGAAACCAGGTCTTCTGGAGCTACATCCCTAGCCCCTTTTTTGTTTATTTATTTATCCTTTTATCTTCAGAAAGGATCTCACTAAGTTCCCCAAACTGTCCTTGTACTCAAGATCCTCCTGCCTCAGTCTCCCAAGTCCTGGGATTGCAGGTGTGCACCACTGTGCCTGGTGCATGCATGGTCGTTTATGTGGTCCTTTCCCTTTATGACAGGCTGGAAGGCAAAGCCATATTCCTCTGGGTCTCATCATCCCCTCTCTCTTCCACTACCTTATTTTAGTAGATGTTATATTTGAGTGCTTTTCCTTTTACGGTCAAACACTTTTATGCTTCTATTATCTGATTTCTCAGTTTTAAGACATCTGACTTCTGTCTCACCGCAGGCAACCAGAGTACTCACTGTTCCTTTCACTTTTCCCTTCTCCACCAAGTTCTGCAAAAGCATTTTGCCTTTTAAAATGTTATAGTTTAGAAAATCATTCCATTGGCCTCCAATGGGAATGCCCATTCAGGTTTTGCCACTTCTGTGGGATTTCATTTGGTACATCTTTCTAGAAAGCTATGTACTTCTAGTTTTTCTAATGCACTGCCATGGGGCTGACTGCAGGATAAATAGGCCCCATCTTTCCTACATGAAAAGGACTTCCACTGCCAGACAGCTGATTCCTCTCCTATGGGCTGAATTTTCCCATTCAACAATGGGATGCTACCTGGACAAACTAGTAAATTCCTACTTCTATGCTTAGCTGGGCTTTGGGAAGAGGTCCACAGGCACTGAGGTTTGCACAATGAGATCACCTGTGTTTCCAACCAGAGACGGAGTAGCTCAGCCCCACAGTACCCACTCTGACTGCAGCCCCCTGTGGAGAGCCTGCAATGTGCAGATCCTGTCTGGGGTCATCCAAATTTGGCCAGATTTGCTCTCTGTGGTCACCATGAGAACAATGCCTACTCTGGCTGTGTTTCCAGGAGACCTCTGGTCAGCTCACAGAATCGGCAGCATCTTCCCTCATGCTGTATCCTCCAGAGGAGGTGTCATTAGACAAAGGCCCCAGGATATCCAAGCAGGTCACTGTCTTTTCAGAGCTCCTTCTGGCATCCCTGTGTCTTGTTGTGCCTTTAGTGTTACTTATACTAGTTAATATGTAGGTATAAAAACAATCAAAATATACAATAAAGGATAATTAAGTAAATTATAGTGCACACTGGATATTTTATACAAAAATAGAAAAATACATTGTCTAATGAAGACAGCAGGATATAAAAACTAAAACTACAAATACATTTTGTAAATGTGTGTATATTTTATGGTAAAAAACAAAAAAAATAAGGAAAATAATTGAAACATCAATATTTTACATACTTACAGATTTCTTACTCCTAAACACTTCTCTGAATTTTCTAAGCTTTCTTAACCTAAGCACATATTGTTTCCAAAACCAGAAGAAATGAAATCTTGTTAGAAGACTAATATATATATATTAAGTTTAAGAAGCCATAAATGACGAAATCCTTGTTTGTTATAATCATTACCCCAAATGACACATCAGTCTTCTTATAATTTAAATATTGATATGAAATACATTATGATGAGTTTAGTGAAAAAACTTTTCTTACTCAGCAAAATTAATATTTGCTATTTTCTGCACTTACTGGGATGTAGAAAGAAAATGGTCAGTAGCATCTACTAACAACTGCAAACACACACCCTGAGGAAACCCCGCAAATGCAACAAATGTTCATACTGTCAATGCTATGCCATGAAAGGATACTACTATTCGATCAATAGCGTAGAATTAATTAAATATATGGAAAATTGGTCTTTTAAGAAAAAGATTTACTTAAGTAGGGAAAGAACATTTTAATTGATTTTTATAAATTACTTTGAAAATACTGCCTAAGATAGATATCTAGAGAAAGGGAAAGTATAGATATAAACTTAATCCAAAATCTTGAAAGAACCACAATAGTTCTACTAATCCAATTCTTAATCTTGTTAAGAATATATTACACATACTTACCTTCATCTTTTCCTTATCTAGTAATACTGCTATCATAAATCCAACCTGAATTCAGGCAGAATACAAACTATGGGGAAGGATGATGAGAACCTTGAGTTTTCCAGTAGTATAAAAAAGGAAGAATTTTTTTTTAAAAAAATAGCAGCCCTGTATAACATTCTGAAGGAGTCTATGCCTAGACAGTATGAAGATAATGTCAAAATCAAAAGTAAAAGGCAAACCTCATCTCAGAATCAAAAATAAAAGTATAAAAAGCTTTGCCTATGACAATTTACCTGACCACCATCTGACTACCATCCCTACCATTATGACAAACTCCAGAATTTCCATTAAACACACAGATATACAATTATAACAAAGTGATTCAGTGGAGATAACAAAAAAGGTCTACATACAAGAGTGGCTGAGAAAGTATATGTTTGGGAAAAACTGAGTCTGCTTTATCTTTATACCATCATATAACATGACGAGGTTTATGGTACCTGTATTGTCGATGCCTAGGAAAATATGCAGAAAAGGGATGGAAATGTTGTATGTAAATAACCAAAGAACCAGAAGCCAAGTGAAACTTCTGGCTGTACTGGAGAGGAATATGCAGGGAAGAGAAACTGGGAATTTAGAAATGTATTAAAACATGCTTACATCATCTCTTTTTTATGTTTCTAACATAAAAGAATTGTGATAAGGATATATTTATAGAGAACCCAAAATTATATTGTCTATTTTACCTTGGAAGACCGGAAGGTAAATGCTGTTGATTTTACATCGGCCTTTTCTTTGTCCATGAGTAAAAGGTTTTTGTCTTCCAGGAGACTTAGGTATTTTCCGGTTGTGACATGGCGTAGTCTGAATGGCTGCCCCCACCGTATGTGGCTCCCACTCCACCTAACAAAACCAACCAATCAGGACTCTGTCCAACAACATCCTCAATCACAGAAGCAGCAATTGAAATAAATGAATCAACCTATCTATAACATACAAAATAAAGTTACCGTACTTAAAATATATGGGGTAAACAGAATATGTCTATACAGTTCAAGTCCCTTTCCCCAAATTCTCTGAATAATTATGAAGTATTATAAAAACTGAGGGGTTTTTTTCTCCATTTGCTTTAATTTTTTTTCCATATGATTAAGAAGTGCATGTCCAACAAAATTAGACTTTTAAGCTCCATATTTATCAAAAATGTTTAAATTTAAGTGGATTTACTCAACTGTATATTAATGTCCCAGAATCTTAAAATTATCAATTATTAATGATATTAATATT